ATTCTCACCTTTTCCAATCCCAGTCCCCCCCAGACCTTCCTCCCCACCCCGCCTTGTGGTACTGGGGTTTAAACTCAGGGCTCTGTGCTTTGTAGGCGGGCACTCTACCACTTGGGTCACACTCCAGCCTCATAACTTTTGGAGATGTTCTCAATAACCAGGTTTTGCTCCAGAGTTAGGTACTCTCCCTTTGTAGCCCCTCATACCCTTATCTGTCCCCACACTCCCAGCTCATTGCCTACATAATCGCATACTGAATGCTAACCATGTGCAGGCAGCTCGCTAAATACTTCTGCATCCATTCTAATTATAACCTCTACTGCGGTACAGATGAAAGTTAGGTAACCTACCCACCATGACAAGGCTGTAAGTCTGGATCTAAAGGTGTCACCTTAGCGGTCCTGCCCACACACCTGCCTGAGGCCGAGCCCTCCTCCCCACGGCAGGTTCCAAGACTCCTTGTTGAGAATTCATCACATCCTGCCTAAAAAATTTGGAAGAGGGGCTGGGAAGGTGGCTCAGTGGTAGAGCGCTTGCCTTGCATGCATGAGGCCCTGGGTTCAATTCCTCAGCACCACATAAGCAAAAAGAAAAAAGCCGGAAGTGGCGCTGTGGCTCAAGTGGTAGAGCGCTAGCCTTGAGCTGAAGAGCTCAGGGACAGTGCCCAGGCCCAGAGTTCAGGCCCCATGACCGTAAAAAAAAAAAACATTTAAAAACTGGAAGTGGCATTGTGGCTCAATGCTAGCCTTGACCACAGAGAGGCTCAGAGACAGAGTCCAGCCCATGAATTCAAGCCTCACAACCAGGAAAAAAAAAAAAAAGAGCTCAAGGACAGCGCCTGGGTCCTGAGTTCAAGCCCCATGACTGACAAAAAAAAAAAAAAATTGGAAAAGATCAAGACACTATCTCCTGTGAACAATGACACAATAGTCAGCCAAGGAGATCTGAAACATCTTTCCTGTGACCCAGACATCATTCCCTCCCTCCCTTTCTCCCTCCCTCCCTCCCTCTGTCCCCCTACAGCAGCAAACCCTTTACAATTCCCTCAGGAAGGGGCTGCCCTTACCATGCCCAGAGGTAGGAGCTCAGGAGCGGTGATGAACCCAAGCATCATTTCTGCCTGGCAGAGTAACATGTGGTTTGCACCTGATGCACACGAGGTGACTTCCTCTTTTGGACCTTTCCCAAGCCCATCTTTCCTGATTATTTCCTCCAGGCAGTCACTTCTCATTTCCTTATGTACTGTTCCTTCTCACTTCTTGTTCCAGACACCGCGATCCACTCCTGGTGCTGAAAGTGTGACTGTGTGAAAATGGACAGATGTGTTCTGAAGGTAGGGATGTATGCTCCCTTAATTTGCTTAATGATGAAGTTACTTTACAAAGCAAGGCGTGCCGGTGGGATGTAAAACCTGCCCAGACACATGCTTTAGGTTCAGTGTGTGCAGATTTGAACCTCACTCCACCACTTCCACCCTGGCTGCTCCTTGATTTTCTCCTCTGTGAAATGAGGAATGATAGTAGTGACATCTTCCTTGTAGAATCTAACAAGTGTGGAAGGAAAGAACTCCTTAACCAGTGCCTGGCAGGTAGGAGTGCCCAGCAGACGTTGGCTTTTTATTGTTTTTGATTGTCGTATCATTTTCCGTCCTAGCCCTGGCAGAGTCATAGTTGGTCTCTGACAGCGCTGGAAGGGTCAGGTGGTTCAGGAGAGTTCAGGGTGAGCAATTGCGGATTCACTAGAGGAACTCTCCAGCCATCTTCCCCCCTGTTGTAATGCAATTCACAGCTCGCTGGCTGGCTCTCTCCCCGGTTCCCGGAGGGGCTGGGTGCCTTGTGGGACATTGTGTAATATGTATTTGATCTTCATGCAGCTTCCTGGCATGCAACTCCTAAAATCCTTGGAATTTCCAAATACCGAATGTCTCTTTTGCTTGCCCATGAGTGGAAGGATGCTGAGGAGCCCCTGAGCCACATGAGTGGGGTCGTGGTTACAGCTCCAGCTCCAGCCTCAAACCCCCGGGTTGCCCAGGAGCCCGGGAACCCAGGCCGCCAGTCAGAGGCCAGAATACCAGCTCACTCGGTGCTGTGCTTGCTGGCTAGGTGCTTGTTTGCTAGGTGCTTGCTCGCTCAGTGCTTGTTCGCAAGTGTTTTCATGACACATTCATCTCATCCTGCGTAGTGTACCACAGGGCACCCCTTCAGAGATGTTCTGACAAATAACTGCAGGGTTCATGCCCCCCCAGCAGTGGGGGGGGAGGGCAGGGAGGGGGGGAGGGGAGGGAGGGCAGGGAGGGGAGGGAGGGAGGGAAGGGGAGGGAGGGCAGGGAGGGGGAGGGTTCCCAGGGAGGAGAGGGAGGGCAGGGAGGGCAGGGAGGGGGAGGGAGGGCAGGGAGGGCAGGGAGGGGGAGGGTTCCCAGGGAGGGGAAGGAGAGCAGGGAGGGGGAGGGTGCGGACAGCGCCCCCTCGTGGCGCGCACTGATGCGCCCGCGCTCCCCCCGCTGACCTGCGGCCGATCCACCTGATCCGCCCGCCCGCCCCGCACTGGGCAGGAGGCGGGAGGGGGGGGGGGACCAGGGCGGGGACGTGGCGGGGGAGGCGGAGTCCCCCAGAGAAACTCAGGGCCTTCAGCGGCTTCCCGGGAAGTGAGCCGGGGTCGCCTGCGGAAAACAGGAAGTCGTGTGTAACAAAGAATGGGGGGGAGGGGTGCGGGGGGAGGGCGCGGGAGGGGAGGGTGCGGGAGGCGTCCTTCGTCCTCTGGCAGGTGGAGGTCTGACCCAGCCCGGCCCCTCGGGCCGCACCTGCCCCTTCCTCCACCCCCAGGACCCCTGCTGGGGTCCATCCAGGCCGCCCTGAGGATGGGAAGTGGGGGTCGGGGGCGACTCTGGGGGAGGCCACTGGGACCCGAGAGCAGCCCTCCCCGGGAAGGGACAGTCACAGCCCCCTGGTGAATCACTTCCATCTCCTTCCAGGAGGGCAGACCCCTGGGGCAGGGGCAGAGGTGGGGGCCCTGTGCGCGCAGGAAGGGGGGGAGCAGCGGGGAAGGGCCTGGGGGGGGGGGCGGGAGACCCCTGCTCTAGCCTGGGTGGGTCCAGAGACCTCATCCAGTCCGGTGGGGCAGGAGAGAGAGAGCTATAGTAAGCTGTCCTCTTCCGTCCACCATGATAGCAGTAGCAAGAGAGGGAGCCCTAATGAAGCTGGGCTCCCCTTTTCCCAGCCCTTGCCGGAGTCACAGAGCAGTGACCTCCAGGTGGTCACCAGCCAAGAAGTCCTGGAAAAGCAGCTGTCCTCAGAGCCGGAGGTCACCGCGGGGTCAGATTGATTCTCCAGGCCGTGACACTGGCTCCAAGCTGTTAAGGAACCGCCAGGCTCTGGATTCTTCAGTGAAATGTGCATGTGAACTGCAACGCTCTCGCTAGCCCCTCATGGCCCTCCGCAGCGAGTCCCTGCGCTAGCCTGGTTTCTGCCAAGTGTGGGACATCTATACAGGTCATTCTGTGACCTGAACTTCACCTGTGGGAAGGGGCAGGGTCCTAAGGGAGTAACCTTCAGGAAAGCCCGGGAGAGGAGGCCTGTGACCTGTTCAGACCCCCAAATGCCTCTCCTCAGGTTCTGCTGAGTTATCAGAGGTGGAGCCTGGCATGGCTTACAGATTGGAGTGGCCCAAAGTCTGTGCCAGCACAGTTGTGGGGGGTGGGGGTGGCTTTCAAACCTCTGTCTGGTTGTCGGAGCCCTTGTGTGTTCAGATGGTTTAGCCAGCAGCCATCTCCCCTCCGAAGGCTTGTCTCTAGTCAGGCTGGCGACCTGACCTAGCACGCTGGCTGGTGTGGACGTGCAGCCCTGCGGGTGTCTACCTGTCCCCCACATGGGAGCCTCCTCATCTTGCCTCCTGTCCCTGCTCAGCTTCCCCCGCCCCCCAGGGCCCGGGAGCCGCTTTCCTGTTTCATTTTGGGCAGGAAGAGTGAGGTCCTGTTGTTCTTCCCCCTGCTGCCGGCTTAGGCTGTGGGAACGGTTCCCTGAATGTTTTCCTGTTTGATACCCTGTGTGTGCAGCGGGGAGAAGGGGCCAACCGTGAGTGGAAAGCGTGGAGTGAGTGCATGCATGCTCCTGTGACTCCACAAGCAGACCCACAGGCCCAGGGCCCAAAAGTTCTGTGTCAGGGAGAGAAGGAAGAAGGTCGGGGCTGGCAGGTTTGCTTTGCTTTGGGTAGTAAGTAGGATTCCACCAGGAGCAGGGCAGCTGGTGGGTCTATTCTGTGTTACTGTGCACAGGGTGAGGGCTGGGAACATCTGCTCAGCTTTTTGTCAATGGCTCATTTTCTCATCACTTGCTCTCTGAGTTTTGTTTGTATTGGGGGGGGGGGACTGTGACACCCTAGGGACTATCCTAGGCCTTAGAGGAAGCTGGGCCTGGAGAAGACTGGAAACTCCCTCGTTAGTGTCTCGGCCAGAGAAACCCAGGGAAGGCTCTGACTCCTCCCTCCTGTCCAGCCTCCAAAATCCTCCAGCAGCTCTGCACAGCCAGGGGCCCAGACCCTCAAAGGGACCCCAGCCCCAGCCCAGTTCTTCACTGGGGCTGAGAAAACAGCAAGGTGACAGTCCATCTAAAAACCTCCCTCAAGTGGCAAAAAGGACCCAATGGGGACTTAGAGGCCGCATCAGCTGATCAAAATCCTTTTGAATAAGAGAAAAACAGGTAGAACTGTGGAGCACCCCCCCCCCCAAATAAAAACAAACTGTTTCAGGTTTGGGGAGAGAGGGAGGAGAGGGAGCTACCTTCCACCCTAAGGAATGGTGGGAGGTGCGGAGCTCAGCCACCAGTCTCCAAGTCACCAGGCAAGGAAGGCTAGCTCACGCTGGGCTCCCCAGAGGCTGCACTGGGACAAGGGCCCTGTCACCCCACACCAAGCCCAAGCACAGAAGCGCATGGTTCTGGAAGGGCACCCAGCAGCCACAGAAAAGGTTAGAATTCTCTGCTGTCACAAAAACAGGACCCAAGCAGTAATAAAATCCTGTACACATCTGTTCCACATTATAAATACACGTTATATACAAAATAATGTTATAAAATGTAGAAAGGTCAGTGCTTCTGATTCTTAAATTATCAAAATACTAGATTCCAAAATAAACTACAAATAAAAAATAAAACCTCATATTATTGATTTCTGAAGGTCGGTTTCGAGGGTAGTCTAGGAGCTGGAATGAACACAGGCAGAGCCCAGACTCAAGATCGTAGGAACAGGTTTGAGCAGGGGGGGAAAAGGGGTCCAGGCAGCAGCAGCCCCCAATTTTCCCCTCAGTGGAATTTCCACTGTAACTGCCCTGAGCTTCCCGGCGCTGCCTGGTTACCCCCCTGCTGCTGTAGGCCCCCAGCCCATCTGCTCCTGGAAGCCCGAAGGCCACAGGGCGGTGGAAGCTGGACAAGATCTACCGACCCTCACCCAGCAGCGAGGCCAGGGAGAGGCCGGGTAGCTCCCGAGCAAGGCTGCCTGCAGACAGAAAGCTGTCTCTTCAGGTACACCTCACCTGCTGGGCAACCCCTGCCAAAACGGCACCCAGTGGCCTTCCTGCCCACAGAGCCCAGCCTGCGCTGGCCCCTCTCTCCTTTCGGATGTAAGCCCAGCTGTCATTGTGGCGCCTGGGCCAAAGGCACTTTGGGAAACAGATGCCGGTGGAGGCCACAGCAGGTCTGAGCCCCACGGCTACTGCCGCCTCTCTCTTCTGGAAAACAGGCCAGGGCTCCTCTCTGGAGCCCTGTGAAGGCCACTGCTGGCAGAGCGGGTCCAAGTGGCACCTTGGAAACCAGCTCGAGTGTTCTCCTGGCTCTTCAATGCCATTGCCCAGGCTGGCAGAGCTGCCAATCTGATAGACAGACTCCCGCAGGTATGCAGGGCCGGTCCATCTCTTGGCAAGTTCACAGTCTGTCCAATTCCTGCCATTCCCTCCTCCTCCTGAGAGCAGCACGGTGCATATTAAAGACGTCCCATCCAGGATGCAATGTAAACAATGCAGAAGGAAGGTCCAGCTGCTGGGCCCAAGCTGGGGTGTTGTGGGCATCTTTGTGCCTTATACCTGGAGAGCACGTACAAAGTGGGGAAATGGGTTATTCTGAGTTCCGCCCCCTCTAGGACTGCCATGGGCTTTCCCGGGGGAAGCTGATGGGGTGGGCAGGAGCAGGGACAGGGCACGAGGCAGTCTCCTTGGTCTTCTACCCAAAAACACACGCGTGCCTGAGCTTGCACTTGTGATCCAATGAAAGGGGTCAGGAGGGCATAAAGCAACCCCCCCCCCCCCCCCAGCACCTGGGAAGTGGTTTCTGGGAGTTGGCTAGAAGCCATGGCTGCTCTGCCAAGCACCAACACAGCAGCAAAGACAAGGCCAGGCGCGCCACCTGGCTCCTGTTTCACGCCCTCTGTGGCAACAAGGACAGCAGGGGCCCAAGAGCCACTGAACAGGGTCCACTGAGCAGGGCTTCGGGTCCAACCCCTCAGGAGGTGGCCCACAGGTTGAGGGTGAGCAGGCCACTCTCCCTTCCCCGCTGGGCAGGAAGCAATGTGCTATGAGGAGAGGCCAGCCCCGCACTCACCTCGGTGGCAATGACACATTCATTCCTCTCTTCTGATATCAAACACACAGACTGGTACATGGAGTCCCGGGGGGAGCAGATCGCTGATATTCGACACTCTGGCTTTTCACTGAGGGAATACAAGACAGGCAAGCATGAGGAAGGGAGGCGGGGAAAGATGAAGGTGGGGGGCTCCAAGGGGGGGGGTAAGGGGCACTAATCTGGAGCCCAGAGAGCCAAGGGGCCAGTTGACAGGTGATTCAGGAGAAGACCAGGCTGGAGGTGCAAAATGCGGCCTTGTAGAGGGGCCAATGCGGGACAGACAGTGAGGCACAGGGCCTCAAGTGGATCAGAAAAGTCACAGGCCTAGAAGCAGCCAGCACTGCCACCATGGAAAGATGGAAGTCACGAGAGACAAGAGTGTGGAACCTTGGCAGTAGTACATGGACGAGCAGGAGGTCTTTCCTAGTAAATACCCCCAAGCAGGAGTCTTTATTTCATTTATGCATGTGTATGCATGTGTGCATGTGTGCACATGTATATTTGTGTGCGTGCAAACATACACTACTACTGGGACTTGAACTCAGTGCCGGGTGCTGTCTCTTAACTTTTTGCTCAAGGCTGGTGCTCTACTACTTGAGCCATAGTTCTACTTCCAGCTTTGTTGGTTAATTGGATATGTTTCATGGGCTTTCCTGCCTGGGCTGGCTTCAAACCGCAACCCTGAGATCCTACCCTCCGGAGTAGCTAGGGTTACAGGTGTGAGCTGCCAGCACCTGGCTAGGAATTAGTTATTTATTTAGACAGTACTGGGATTCGAATGCTTGCTTGAGCTTCTCCCTTGCTAGGCAAGCACTCAGCCATGCTTCTAGCTCTTCTGCTCTGGCCATTTTTGATACAGGATCCTGCTTTTTGCCAGGACCCCCAACCCTATTTTGTGTTTTCTGCTGTAGCTTGGATAATAGGCATGCATCACTATACCAAGTTTTTTTGTTGTTGTTGTTGAGATAAGAGTCTGAAGAACTTTTTACCTATTCTCTACCTCCTGAGTAGCAGGATTATAGGTAGAAGCCAAGGGCATTGCTATCTTCTGTGTCTGTACTAGGGCTTGAAGTAAGGGACTGGGAGCTGTCCTTTAGCTTTTTTGCTCAAGGCTGGTGCTCTACTACTTGAGCCAAAGCCTCATTTCCAGCTTACGCTGGTTAATTGGGGATAAAAGGATCTCATAGACTTTCTGCCGGTTGGCTTGGGAACTACAAACCTCAAATCTCAGCCTCCTGAGTAGCTAGGATTATGACATGAGCAACTAGCTCCCAGAGAAATGTAGCTATTTTTCCCAAGCTGATCTGGACCTCAAATTTGGGAGACTGAGACAGGAGGATCATGAGTTTGGTACTAGCCTGCAAGGTCTCACATCCTTGTCTCAATAACAAAAAAACAACCACCAAAAAGACATTATTTTTGTTGTTGTTGTTGTTGGTCGTGGGGCCTGAATTCTAGGCCTGGGCGCTGTCCCCTTCAACTCAAGGCTCACGCTCTACCACTTGAGCCACAGCGCCACTTCCGGCTTTTTCTGCTTATGTGGTGCTGAGGAAGGCAAGGCAAACACTCTACTCCTGAGCCACCTTCCCAGCCCAACATCATTTGTTTAAAAGCAGTCAAGACTAGCCAGCCTCCCATGACCAGATAGGCCCTGGTGGTCCTGGCGCTGCTTACCTGTGTAACCGCAGTGGCACCTTCTCTCCTAAGCTCTTGTCACTGTGGGGATACTTCCCCGGCAGGGTCCCCCGACCCAGGTGGCCCGGGGCCAGATTATAGTCCAAAGTGTGGTTCTGGTGTTTGCCACAGTTGGACTTATCCAGGCCACAGTCCACCTCCAGCTCCTTCTTCTGGTTTGTGTTCTTGAGCTGGGCGGCTGGGATCAGGTTGTCCTTCTGGAAGTCCGACAGGTTGTTCATGGCCTCCCTGCTGCTATCATCCGGCCGCCGAAGCCGTAGCTGCCGCACAGCCACCGCCACCATGCCCAGCAGTACCAGCACCACCACCAGCCCCACGCCCAGGGAGACGGCTACCCAGGGGAAGCTGGGCGGCAAGCCCACGGGGAACTCGCAGCGGCTGCCCACGAAGCCGTAGGGGCAGTTGCAGACAAAGCTGTCCATGGAGAGGCCTGCGTAGCAGGTGGCCCCATTGAAGCAGGGACCCGAGGCACAGGCATTGCTGGCTGTCCGCACCTCACAGCGCCTGCCTGAAAAGCCAGCAGGGCAGGTGCACACGGGCCCGTTCTCCAGGTGGTGGCAGGTGCCACCGTTGGCACAAGGGCTGTGGGAACAGTCGCCACCCATGCTGAGTTCACAGTGGGGGCCTGTGAATCCGGGACGGCAGCGGCACATGCGGGTCGGACCTCTGTTCAGACACTGGCCCCCTGCATGGACAGAGACACGGTCAGAAACCCCCCGGCCCGGCCCTGAGCTCTGGCCCTCTTGTCTCCATGCTCATTGCCGGCATGGACAGGGCCCATTGTAAAGAGAACTGAACAGTCTCACGACACCTAGAGTTTAGGATGATCCCACTCTCTAAGCTTCGGTAGGCTCCTGGATGCAAAGTGCTAGCACATGGCAGAGCTTTAGAATCAAGACAGATAGGATTCGAATCTCAGCGGTCTTTTTATTTTATGTTTATTGTGCTGAGCCTGGGCGCAGTCCCCGAGTTTCTTTTACTTAAGACTGGTGGCTCTACTAACTTGAGCCACAGCCCCACTTCCAGGTTTTTCTTTTTTTGTTGTTAGTTTTAAGAGATAAAGAGTCTCATTGACTTTCCTGTCCAGATTGACTTTAAACTGCAATCCTCAGATTTCAGCCTCCTGAGTAGCTAGGATTATGGGCATGAGCCATGGGCACCCGGCTCAACTACCTAGAGTTCTCTAGGTCAGAATCTGGTACCAGATGATTTTCCTCATCCTTAAGCCTTGGTTAAATTGGAATAGTGTACTGTCCCCTTCGCAGAATTGGTAAGAGGTGTAAGAAGGCCAGAGCCCATGATGGCCGCATGTAGTAAATACTCAAAGAAATGTCATTTCGCCTTCAACCCGCACCAAAGATGGGAGATGGGAATTATTATCCCACTCAATGATGAAGAAATTGTGGCTCCAGGGGTTGATGACAGTAGATTCCATCAAACCCTTCCCAATCCCTCTCCAGCTCCTAAGCTTCCCTCCCGCCCTGCACCGTCTGCCTGCCTTACAAGAAGACACTTGAAGACAAGCATACCACATGCTTTGGATCCCAAAAGATGCTGCACATTCTAGATGACTTGTGCCACACCCACAGGAGGCCTCCAGGAACAGGACTCTGACCCCATCATTGGTCTTCCTGAGTGGGGACATGAAGCCCAGGATTTCTGGGAAGGGTCAAGAGGCCACCCAGGCAGGCCAAGGCTCTGCCATGAGGCAAGAATGGCACACAAAGTGGACAGCACCCCTTACCTGGCTCCCCCTTCAACACCCCCCCCCAGCTGATCAAGCAAGCTCTTCACATTCCTGAGCCACTGAGAGCACAGTGTAAATGGCCAGTGACAGACAGGTCTCTGTCCTCTCTACCCTCCGTCGCCAGCAGGCTTTCTCGCTGCAGATGCCTGTAGGTTAGCAAGGCAAAGGACTTACCATTGGCACATGGGTTGTTGGTGCACCTGTCCACTTTCTTCTCGCAGTTGGAACCAGTGAAGGTGGGGGGGCATTCACAGGCATAGCTGGCCCCCTGGTTGTGCTCCCGGCAGGAGCCTCCGTTGAAGCAGGGAGAGTCAGCACAGGTCAAAGTGCTGTGTTCGCAATGCAGGCCATAGTAGCCTGGGGGACACAGGCAGTGGTAGCCATCTTTCTGGTCCTGGAGAGAGACCAGAAAGGGCTAAAGTCAGACTCTGGGAGGTATGGGCATGAGACTGGGGGGCTGTGCTCCCCTCGCCCTCTATGCTTGTCCAGGGCTGTGACACCCATTGGCTAATCTGGTTGGGGGGTGCCTGGATGCCTGTGCTGGTGTGGGCCCCGGGCCTCACCTCACAGCTGCCGCCATTGCGACAGGGGTTGCTGTCACACTCTCTGAGTTCCAGCTCACAGTCCACACCAGTGTAGCCAGGGGCACAGGTGCAGGTGTAGCTCCGCTGCCCACTATTGGAACATGTGGCCCCGTTCTTGCATGGGGAGTGGTGGGTGCAGTAGTTGAGGTCTGCAGAGACAGGAAATGAGCAGCTAAGCAGGGCTAGGGAACAATCTACCTTGGTGTCCTTGAGGTACTGCTTCACTCTGTGCTTACCCGCCCCTCTCCTGCCGGTAAAATCATAAATGTAGAAGTGCCTAGAAGCACCTATGATAACAGGTACAATTAATCAAGCCTGGAAAACACCACTGGATAACATCCTACCAGGTAGACTTATAAACAGAGCCTGGGGGCGGGGAGGGGGAGTACAGAGGAAGGCCCCAGGTCAGGGAGGGAGCCAGAAAAGGCTTCTGGGGGAAAGGCCGCGTAGATCACCCTGGAAGGAAGGGTAACGTTTCAAGAGGTGGCAAGAGGAGAGGCAAGAGCCACCATAGGTAGGGACCAGACTTTTTTTTTTTTTAAGAAAGAGGTATTAAAAGGGTATTTTGAACAATAAGTATTTGTTTTCTTATTGGAGAAGGACTGGGAAGGGAAGCCAGACAGAGCAAATAGAGGGACTATGAGGGTTGTGTTTGCATATGATGAGTATACAACTTGTGTCAGGGAGATAATGAGTAGGAACCAGAGGAGGGGGGCAGAAAGGAGAAAGACAGACAGACATGGACAGACAGACACAGACACACACACACACACACACACCCTAGGGACTGAATTCTACGCCTTTACTGGCAGCAAGTCAGTAGTGAAGGTGGGCGGGGGGCCTTTACTGGCCTAAGCAAGTTGTTTCCAGCCTGGCAAAGTCCTCCCCACCCTCCCAGGCCTGTATGCTGTGCCTCCATGGCAGCAGGTGCACTGGTTGACCCTGAAAATAGGAAGCTGCAGCTGCCTGCCAGGATGCAGAAGAAGCTCCTTTCCTCAAGGTTGGGGCTCAAAGACCCCAGTGTAGGCAGAAGAGTAATGAGTCCCAAATACCAGGTAGAGACTGTGTGGGCTCAGGCACTAGGGAAAGCAGGAGACTGTGTCCACACCGAAAAGTCAGTTAGAGTTGCTCCATCTGGGGTGACCAGTGGGCACACCCCACCAGACAGCTGTTTAGGGGAGAACTGCTCAAACAGCTCTGGAAGGTTAGCAAACACTCAGGGGGTTAATAGGTAACCACAAGGCAGAAAAAGGAACTGAGCCTGGCATCCCTTTCTCTTTGGCCTTGCTAGAATTTATGAGTGCAACCTCCAGGCTGCCAATCTGTCACCCTCCTGACTTCACCTGGCTCCCCAGCACCTGCAGAAGAGGGACCCATGACCTCATGCTGCACTCGGTGCAAGGATTCTTTTCAAAGCTCCCAAGATAGGACTCGGGCAGAGCTCAGTGGAGGAGCATTTGCCTATCCTATGCCAAGCCATGGGTTTGATTCCCATGAAAACACACACACACACACACACACAGAGGTCCCGACATCCTTCAAGGCTAATGGGAACACCAAGTTAGCAACCACTAAGGAAGGGTCCAAGGCAGCACTGGGTTGCAGTGCCTGCCTCATCTCTCTGGCCCACACTCACCTTGGTCACAGAACAGGCCTCCCCAGCCCTCCTTGCAGGTGCACTGCCAGGGTGTGGTACAGGTGCCGTGGCGGCAGCCGTTGTGCGGGATACATTCGTTGCACAAGCGGCCCTGCCATCCTGGGCGGCAGCTGTGGGACAAAAGGGAGGCTGAGAGTGAGGAGGGTGGCCTGCTGCCCCGGGGAGGCTCCTCACCCCCCTTTCCCGTCCTCTACTCACAGGCACTCAGCTGGCTTGCTGCAGTAGCCATTCTGTTCATGACAGCCAGAGAGACAGAGTGCTGAGGAAAGAAAAGAAGGCTGAATAAGATCAGGGTGCCACGGCCTCGGGTCCTAGTCTCCCTTCCAGACCGACTACTTTCCTGGGCTCATTTCCCACTTCTGATCGCCCATAACCCTGGCACTCTTAGGGGGAAAAGATATGGACAAAAGGAGGAGAAGCCATGCCGGGGATCTTTGCGTGTTCTGACATGATGGGGAGCAGCACTGAGAAGAGCAGGAGGTTTGAGTCCAAGACCCCCTCAACAGGCCCAAGTAGTCCTGAGGCCCAGCTAGGAGCGTTCCAGACCCACTCTCATTAATTTGTATTGTTTGGTGCCAGTATTAGGGCTTGCACTCAGGGCCTCTTGCTCTTGCTTGATGTTTTTTTACTCATGGCTGGAGCTCTACCACTAGGGCCAAACTTCCACTTCAGCTTCTTAGCTGATTAGCTGGGGATAAGAGTATCACAGTCTTTTCTGCCTCCCACTGTCTTTGAACTGTGATCTTCACTGAGCCTCCTGAGGAGCTGGGAGCCTGAGCCACAAGTGCCAGGCTTGGTCAGGGAGGCGGACTGTGGCTGAGACTACTCTGCCCCCTATACTTGCTTGGGGACACCCCAACCCCTCCATCCAGATGGGGACTGGGCTGCTTACGCTGATCACAGTACTCCCCAGTCCAACCGGGCAGACAGGACAGGCTGCCGTCAGGCTGGCACACGTAGTGACCAAAGCGATCGTTGCGTTTCTTGCACAGACGGGAGCAGTTCTCTCCATAGTAGTTGTCACTGCAGATGACCCGGTAGGAGTAGCTCAGCTTGGTGAGGGGAAGAGTGCTGGTTTGTTCATCCCGCAGCCAGTTCTGACCCACCGTGAGGGAGCGCTGGATGGAGATCTGGCTGATGAGGGAGTCTGGTGGCGGGGCCTCTGAGGAGCAGAGGGTCGGGTCAGGGAGCGCAGTGACCGCTGCCCAGTGCCTCCTTGGCTGTGACCCTTCCGGTTAACCAACCAATCAACCCCACTACCACCACGGGCCTCTCCCTGCAAGCAGGCCAGGAGCCCTGCTGCTTAGATGCGCACGGGGGTCTGATAGCATTCAAGGAGGGGACAATGGAAAGTTGTTAAGATATATATCCCAGTGTGCTGCAGGCAGATATGGAGGCGAGAGAGGAAAAGAGGTCAAAATGGGGAGGGGGGAAAAAAAACAACAAACGGTGGAGGGAGAAAGAGAGAAAAAGAAAAGCTTCCTAAGGAGGTGGTCAGGAGCAGGGGCTTCTTGGTGCCTGTGCTGGGGTTCTACCCCAGAGGTAGGCGATGGTGGTGCTTTTTTATTTTTTTTTTTCCTTTTCAAAGTGAGAATTGTTGTGCTGCTGAAATATCCTCTTCCTCTGTGTCAGAACAACATCCCAAAGCCATTATTCCCTTTCCAAAGGAGCGGAATTCGCGAAAGGTGTAAAATACAGGAAGGGGCCCGTCAGCGGCGCTGGCAGCCTCGGCCTTTCTCACCGCTGCGCTCCCCGCGTTCCCACGCCAAAAATAACCCGCAGGAAACGCAATTGTGCTGGGAGTCCAGGCAGCGGGCGGAATCCGAGCGTCCAGCGCGGGGCGCAGCTCCGGGCCAAGCCGGGCGTCCTGTCCCCCCACCCCGGCCCGGCCCGGCGCGGCGCCCCCGCCCCGCCGCCCCCGCCGCCGCCGCCGCCGCCGCCTCCACCTTAACCCCTGCGGCGCCGCCGCGCGGTGTCGCCCCCGCGTGGCGGCGGGCGGAGCTCGCCACTCACCTGGCCGCAGGTCGTCCCCGGGCGCGTGCCAGGCTTCGATGATGAGTGAGAAGGTGCCCTGGGAAACGGAAAGGGAGGGGGGAGGGAGGAGAGATGGTGAGATGAGCAAGGCGGGACGGGGGGCGGGCGGGGGGGGGGGCTCGAGGCGGCCAGGTTTAATTAATCTAATTGCAGGATACAGTTACTGCGCCCGCCCGGGTCAACATAACGGGTCTGCGGCGCTCGCTCGCGGCGGCGGCGGCGGCGGCGCGCTAGCCGGGAGGGCGGAGGAGAACCCCGGGGTGGCGATGGGGGGGCCGGAGTGTAAGCGAGAGCCAGGGACGCCAGGTGACAGGTAATGGAACTCGGGAACCCAGAGCCGCCCAGGGAGGAAGGGAGCGCAGGGAAAACTGCCCCTTGGGGGGAGATGAGGTCCGCAGAGAAGAATCGGGAAGAAAGGACTTGGGAGGGAATGCCCGCCTTGGACACCTCCGCCCCGAGGGAACTGGTGGTGGTGGGGACGACAAATGGGGAGAGGACGGGGCTTGGCGGGGTCCCCAGGACGCACTCCCTCCTTTCGGCGCCCTCCCCCACCCCCCGCCGCCGTCGGGGTCCGTGCTCACCGGCCAGGTGAAATTGAAGGGTAGTTGGAGAGGGTTGCGGCCCCCGCCGCTGCTGTCATCTCGGATGGCGAAGGAGTTGGTGCCCAGCACCGGCGTGGAGACGTTGCCGAAGGTGCAGTGGCCGTAGGAGACCACGGCCTGGAAGTGCTTCAAGCAGACGCGAAAGAAAGTCCGGCAGCCGGGCTCGCACGGCCGCCCGCTGGCCAGGACGCCGCGCTCGTTGGCGAACTCCAGCAGCTGCAGCTGGAAGACGCCGCGCTGGCCGGCGGCGCGCTGTGGCCGGGGAGAGGGGGGGGAGGAAGGGGGACGTCAGCGCGGCCGGCCCCGGGCCCCCCGGAACCCCCGGGCGAGGCGGGACGGGGCGCGGGACGCGCGTTACCTGCTGCTGCCAAAGCGCCACCAGCAGCAGTAGCGCCCAGCCCGAGGCGCTCCGGGACCTGGCCGCCATCCCCCGGGGCGTCGCTCTGTCCTCCTCCTCCTCTCCCCCCCGGCCGGCCTCGACTCTTGCTTCTGCGGGGGGGAACGCCGCTTTCCCGCGCGTCCGCCGCGGGGGGGGGGGGGGAAGCTGGCTCCTCTCGGGACGCGGCTCCTCGCTAGATCCGGGCAGCCGCCTCCCTCGGAAGGTAATCCAGGTGAGCGCGGCGGCGCGGCGCTGGCTGTCGTCGTCCGGCTAAATCCTGGGGCTGCCGGCCGGCGGGGGCTGGGGCCCGGGGTTCGGGGCGGCGGGGACGGCGCGGCGCTCGCTCGGCCTCGTGCTCCCGGCCCGCGCGCAGCGCCGCTACTGAAACCTGCGCGCTCGGCGGCCTTTCTTATATATATCGGCCCCTCTGGTCGCCGCCTGTCAGTCAGCCGGACTCCCGGCCACTTTCCCCTCCCCTCCCCGGCCGGCCTCTCGGCGCGACAGTCCCAGCGCCGACCAGAGGGGGCCTCCGCCCCCGCCGCTCCCCCTCCCCGCGGCCCGCCGCGCGCGCGTCCCCGCCCCCGGCTCCTCTCCGGACCCCTCGGCCCCCAGCGCCGCGCGCGCGCGGGGTGACCGGCCCCGCAGGGTCGCTGGCTGAAGGGCTGAGACCCCCACACACACACACACAACCCGGGTGCGAGCGGGTGGTGGGCGCGTGGCGGGGGGGGGGGGCCGGGCGGGAGGTGAGCGGGTGGTTCCCGGATGGGGGGGGGCGGGGCGGGGACAACAGGGAGTCCCCGCGGGCGGCGCCACGGCCGCGGGCGCTCGGTACCTGCGCCTCCCAGCAGGTAAAAGAAAGAAAGAGAACGGAAGTCCGGAGAGCGAAAACGGGGGCTCCGCTGGCCTTTCCCTGCCCGGACCCCTTTTGCCTCTCGGGCCTCCAACCTAGCGGCGCCCGGCGGCCGGGGAGCCGGCGGTGCGGTGCCCTCTCCGCGGCCGCTCGGGGGCCGGGCCGGGGGTGGGGGGCGGGTTGGTGGCAGGCGTCGGAGGCGGGGCTCCCCGTGCACCTGGTGGGCGTCTCCCGGCCCGGCGGCGGGGCGTGCCCCGCGCGTGCCTTCTCCCTGCTCCCCGGCCCCCCGCCTGGGCTCGGCTCGTGCCAGCGCCCGGACGCCGGGTCCCCGGGGTGGGGGCGCAGGGGCCGGGCCGCGGAGGTGGGGGCGTCCGCAGCTGTATGGAGATGAGGCCCGGGCCCGCCCCCCTGCGCCTGCCTCCCTCACCTGGGCCGGGCGCAGCTCCGCGGCCCCCCGCCGCGCTCCCCGCCTCCCTGCCGCCGCCCCAAGCCCCAGCCCGCGTCCCGTCGCTCCGCTGAGGCGGGCAGGGGCGCTCCGGTGTCCGGAGCTGCCTCGGGCCACGGGAGAGTAAAGTTTGGGGGGGAGGGTGCTGAGGCCCGGGGGGGGGGTGCCCCCGCCCTCACCCCCGAGGGCAGGGCAAGGGGTGGAACTGGAGGAAAACTCGCGCGCGGATCGGCGTGTTTGAGTGTCGGGCGGTCTCGCCCACGCCGCGCTCCCGAGTGGCCCGCACTCCCGGGGCGGCCGCGGCGCAGCTGCGCGCCCCGGAACCGGTCGAGGTCCCCGGAGGCCGCGGACCAGAGAGAGGGCCAGCTTCTCCCGGCCCCGGGGGGCGCCGCGGAGGGCGGCGGGGGTCCTGGGACTTCAGCTGTCAGCTCGCCCGCGTGGCGAAGACGGCCGTCCGACGATAAGATCAGTGGGGAGGGGGGGCGCGGGGACGCGGTGCGGGGCCCCCGGGAGGCCGCGGGGGTGGGGGGCGCGCGGCCCGGCAGCTGCCGGTGCCCAGCACGGTCTGATTTTTTTTTTTTTTTTTTTTTGGAGATGGATGGTGGCGATGAAGGACGGAGGAGGAAAGGATGAGAAACAAGAGGTTGGGAGCGTGGGTTGGGGGAGGGGCGAGGTGAGGAGCCGGGCTCCGGGGTCCCCCACGCACGGCCTCCCCTCCCAGCCACCATCTGGCGCGAGCGGGTTGGCGTGGGCCACCGAGGCGGGGCGGGGTGTGGGGGGGCGGCAGATGGGCCCAGGCTGCGCTGGAGAGTTAATGTAGGTTAAGGGCAGGCGGAGTCCCGGGCTCCGGGAGGCCGGGCCGGGCCGGGCCGGGCCCGGGCGCGTCGGGGCCGGCCTCCCGCCCTGGGCGCTTCCCGATCCGAACTCCGCAGATCTCTGGGCATTGCCTGGGAATGCCAGCGGCTGCGCCCCGGGCCGACACGCGCCTCTCCCGCCCGTGGCACCTGCCGGCCTGGCCGGCCCATCGTGACGGACCCGGAACGTTTTCCACCCCTAAACACACCCGGCCTGGTGTGCTCCCCCTCAAAAGATAGACAAGGACCAAGCGGGAGCTGTGAGGTTGGGGCCTGGCCGGGCACTGCCGGGGGCTCACACCTGTGACCCTAGCTCACGGGGGGGGGGGGGGGGGTGAGCGCTGAGGATCGCGGTTCGGAGCCAGCCCCGGCAGGAAAGTCCGCGCGACTCCTAGCTCCAAAAAGCCAAACGTGGAGCTGTGGCTCACGTGGTAGAGCATCGGCCTTGAACCTAAAAGCTTAAGGGACACTGCGGGGCGGGGGCGGGGGGAGAGGAGGGGGAGGTGGGATCTTTATTATCATCGGAGATGGGCAATGCAAGGATCCTGCAGGTGTCCAAAGCCTCCGGATCCAGGAGGAGGAGAGTGTCAACTTCATCCCACAGGAGCTCTGGGCCGGGCCAGGACACGTCCTTGGCACTACTGGGAGGATAGCAAGCGTTGGGGGGCGTTTGCTGAGCGGGGGAGGCTCGGCCCAGGGAATCTAGGGGGGGGCTCCTCTCTTCTCCCACCTGCCGCCTAGAGCTGGGGAAGCCACCTGCTCTCTGGGGGTGGGTGTCAGAGGAGAGGGAGGCTGTGAGGGAACGGGAGTCCAGCGGCTGACGGTGGACCTGGAGTGCAGGACGCCGGAGAGCCTAGAACCACCATCCGAGTTCCCCACCGGCTGCTCGGCCCCGCCGCCGACCGCGGCCGGCGCGCCCGCCTCACGGCCCCGGGGTCCGCGGCCCCCGGAGCCCTGGCCCCTGGTGGGCGCCACCTCGCGTGCCAGCGCTCAGTCTCAGCGTCAGGCGGGATCTCAGCCCCTGGGGCAGGGGTTCGCCAAGGTCACCCCCAGACTGACCCTGGCTTATAGGAGGGGGCAGCCTCGTAGAGCCTCGGGATTCCTTCCAAGGCTGGAGGCCTGCAAGCCCTTCCCAGGGCGCAGAACGCAGCGGCCAGGTCCCCGCGTCGTTTGCCTCTCCCCTCCCCCAACGCACCTCCCCGGGGACCCCCCATCCCCCCCCCCCGGGACAGGGCGCGGCGGGGCCGCCCATCCCCTCCCCCCCGGGACAGGGCGCGGCGGGGTCCCCCATCCCCTCCCCCCCACGAGGGCAGGGCGCGGCGGGGTCCCCCATCCTCTCCCCCCCACGGGGGCAGGGCGCGGCGGGGTCCCCCATCCCCTCCCCCCCACGCAGGGCGCGGCGGGGTCCCCCATCCCCTCCCCCCCACGGGGGGCAGGGTGCGGCGGGGTCCCCCATCCTCTTCCCCCCACGCAGGGCGCGGCGGGGTCCTCCATCCCCTCCCCCCCACGGGGGGCAGGGTGCGGCGGGGTCCCCCATCCTCTTCCCCCCACGCAGGGCGCGGCGGGGTCCCCCATCCCCTCCGCCCCCCCCGCAGGGCGCGGCGGGGTCCCCCCATCCCCTCCGCCCCCCGCAGGGCGCGGCGGGGGTCCCCCATCCTCTCTGCCCCCCGCAGGGCGCGGCGGGGTCCCGGCCTCAGCGCCCCGGGCAGGCGGGGGTGGCGGGGGGCGGGCCGGGCCGGGGCGCGCGGCGGTCGCCGCGGAGCAGGGGCCACGTGCGGGGAGCGGCGGGGGCCCCCGGAGCTGCACAGAAGGCGGGGGAGATTTGCAAACTGTTGCTGCCACATGGCTGCCCCATTCGGCCCATTCACATTGAAATGAGGCCGGCGCGTGCCTCATCTGCCGCCGGGCGCTGCCACGCGTCAGGCCCGGCCCGCCGCGTGCCAACTGGGGCAGTGGGGCTGGCAGGGCCCGGGCTGCCCGCCGCGGGGGCCCCCCCGCAGCCGGGCGGGGGGCGGGGTGGGAAAGGAGCCGCCCGACCTCTCCCCCCCACTCCCGCCCCCAGCCATCCCGGCGCCGCCGTCTCTCGGACCTTGGCCCCGCGGGCAGGGAGGGAACCGGCAGAAAGGCCTGCGGGACGCTGGGGTTCCGAGGGGGCCCGGGATCGATGCCGCCGCCCCCCCCCCCGCAGATGCGCCCCGCCAGCGCTACTCTCCATCTGCCGCCGCTCGCACCTGCCGGTCAATAAATCGATTTTACAATTTAATGCAGCAGCTTCCCGCCCGCCCGCCCCGGGACAGATGCCGCCGCAGAACCTCTGCCCCCCACCCCCACCCCGGCCGGCCCTCCCCTCGAGGGGCGCCAGCGGTGAGCGGCTGGGCTTCCCGCGGCGCCCTGGGCACCCCGCTCTCCGGGCCCGTTCCAGTCCCCCCCCCCCCCCCCCCGCAGGCCACAGCAGATCCCTACAGTGGAAGAGGATGACGATGAACCGGTCCCTGGCTTTGCCCAGGGACTGCATGGGAGGAACAGGGCGCAGAAGGCCAGCGCAGGTGGCTCCCGCCTGTGACCCTAGCTACTCAGGAGGCTGAGATCTGAGGATCGCGGTTCAAAGCCAGCCTGGGCTGGTGAGAACCTGTATCCTCAACTAGCCAGCAGAAAATCAGAAACAGAGCTGTGGCTCAAGTAGTAGAGCACCTGCCCTGCGTGAAAAAAGCTCAAGGACACTGCCCAATCCCTGAGTTTCAAGTCTCAGTACAAGCACTAAAAAAACCCTAATTTTTTCCCCTCAGTTCTGGAGCTTGAACTCAGGGCCTGGGCGCTGTCCCTGAGCCTCTTTGTGCTCAAGGCTAACACTTTACCTCTTGAGCCACAGTGCCACTTCCTGCTTTTTCAAAGTAGTTTA